CGTATCTGGTTTCATGAAAGATTGCTCTGGTGGATGGTAAACTGGACATCTCAGCAAAGACTCATCATTCTACGCTCAGCTGTGCTAAAAGTCTGTTTCACTGTGGGTGCCCCATTAGGCTGTCAAGAGGGCTTTGATGGGCTGTATGAACGAGCCTGTGTGAAATCTGAGCTCAAGAGTGGGTCTCTTCTGACAGGTCAGAATGTGCAAGCATCCATCTTACCAGGTACTTGAAAATGTATGGCTTTTTCCTGTTATAAATCTCATTTTAATTTCGTTTCTACAGTGAATGCGGAGATATGGTTATGCATACCAACGGCCTTACACATGGCAAATGTGAAAAAGAAGAAAATATCCTTGCCGCTGATGATAAAAATAAACTTGCTAATAGAAGAGTATTATTGTTGTAAATTCTTAAATTTTTATATCTCAAATTTTCTTTCATGTATTATATATGTTAACGAGGGCAGTGTAGCAAAATTAAAGCCATAGTGAATGACAAAATAAATAAATATAAATAAAAGACTAGGGTCAGTGTTTCTCTTAAGAACTGCATAACAAATGATAACAAATGATTCTTTAAAAGTTTTCCCTCTTCTTCCCCTTGCAATTTCTTTCTTAGATGTTGCCTTATTTAAACAATATACCAAATTGCCTTTAATTCCCCCAATTTAAATATAAAATATGGTCTATTCTTTTTAGCAAAAAAGAAAGAAAATTTAAAAATGAAGGTAATCAATATAAATAAAGCAAGGAGGCAGTCCTATACCATTCAAGATTACAAAAAGAACATAAAGAATGAAGTTCTACACTTTTCAAGAATCCTGAAACAGAAACCTTTCATTAAAGTATTAATTCTACTGACTCCAGAAGTCCGTCTTCTTCCCATAACCCCACCTGCCCTTAGGCTTCTCAGAGTAAAGTGGTCTCAGCCTGGCAGAGGGACGTTCAGTCAAAGGGGGGTGGAGTTGTTTGGTTCAGGTGCTGAAGCGAACCAGTGCCTTAGGCAGATTGGAGCCACCCGTGCATGCAGGTCTGGGGGCCTCAGTGTAGGTGATGGATTGCCAGACTGGATTAGGGGCCTGGGGACAGGCGACTCCTCAACACCTGTAGGAGGAAGTGAAAATGATCCCTCGCAAGCATCTTTGATGCCTCTCCCACCTTTCAGTCTGCTTATGGCCTGGCCCTGTGAAAGAAGCACACAAGCCTGACACATTTCTGACTCCAACTTCTTCCTACCTCCTTGGAAACTAAGCCCTATTCTGGCTGAGGAGGTTTAGATCCAGGGACTACAGCAGGGAAAGGGAAACTGGAACATGCTTGGACATCATTGTCAAATAACAAATCATCCCTTAGATAAAAATATACGTGTCCAACCACTCACCAACACGTGACAGCAAGGGTGTCAACCTAGATTCTCAAGGACATAATTTACATTATTATGATTGCTTTCATGGTCAGAGTAAAACTTTTATGGATTAACCAAACCCTACTGGCCTCTATGTCAACACTATCTCTGAATTTTTCTATCCCCCAGTTCTGCAAATTCCCCCAGCATAGAACATGGCCTTCCAGCATGGGGATGCAACACCAATGGCCCCCTGGGCTGTGGCCCACTCAGTGTTGTATCTGCAGGATCCAGCAGCAGGCCTGGCCCTGGGTAAGGAAGAATCAGACCCATCATAGGAGGCTGGGGACTGGGTGGGGGGAGGTAGGAGAGTTTATGAAAAGCTGAGGGTGCAACTGTACTCACTCACACATGTACTCATTCATTCATTCACTCAGTCAGTTGGTCAACTGCTACCACCTGTCCACAGTTTCCCTGGCTCTAGCAATGTTACTGCAGAAGAAGGCAGGCGGGCCCCTTCCCACATAACCCATAGGAGAAGATGCGGGAAGGTACTCGGTCTTCTGTGGGTGTGGTGCCATATATCCCGGGGCACCAGGAGCACACCAAAGGGCACAGAACTTGGACCTGGATTGTCAGAAGGGGTCTAGAAAAGTGAGGTCTCTCTAGGACCTGAGAGATGAAATAGCAGAAAAGTCAAGAATAGAGGGTCGGTAGGCTCCTACCAACATAGCTCAATATTATCTGTGGCCTCTGGGAAACAAGTCACTTCTCTTGCCTGAGCCTCAGTTTCCCCATAAGTAAAATGGGGTGTCATTGGATTGTCATGAAGGCTTATGAAATATGCACAGGAACCATCAAACAGAGTCCCTGACACCTTCCCTGACCTTCAGTCTGTCTGATGGATGAATGGGTCACTCTTGGGGTCGAGAAAGACTCAATGACTCATAGGTCTAATTCGCTCTAGATCACAGCAGGGACGCAACTCCAATTTTCTTTTTTCTTTCTTTCAGTTTTGGGTGAAGGGCCAATTGAATATACTATTCATTGCCTTCCATGAACTGGGTGAAACTAAAGATATTTTCAATTCTTTGGGTTCAGCCACTGGTGAAATCTGACCAAAGAAAACAGTTCATTGCAGGTACCCAGCAGTTCGCCTTGAATAATGTTGGTTAGTAAATTTAAAATAGATTAAAAGAAAAAGCGTTCTCAAAATTTTAACCTAGAGATGGGGGATGCTCCAAAGGACTGAACGTCTAGAAGCCCTGGGAAAGGGCCAGCTCTGGTCACGTTAATTACCTTCCCTGTCACTGACAGCTGACAGATCTTCTAATATGAGGACAGGTTTTTAGTTAAGGTTCCTAAATGACACTGTGGAAAAGTGAGCAGACGGGACGTGCACCAGCCCGGGGCGCTGCTTTACTCCCTGCCTGAAATCACAATGAAGTTATGAAACTGAGAAATCAAACACTTCCTGAGTTAGCAGGTTGTGGAACACAGTGGGGTCTGTGTACAAGACACAATATGATACTTGTGTTTACAAGTGAGATGGTTGATGACTTGATCATAAAGTAATCCTTTCACAGCCAAACAGCCACATCCAGACTGTAATTGCTCCCTCATCTTTGTCCCAACCACTGGAAGGCGGCTCTGTGGGGGTAGCAACAGGCTCAGCTAATTCTCTGCATGACTTAATGCCACATAGTTAACACTCAAAAGAGATTTACTGGACAAGTCACATTTTATTAGGATACAGGTGAGTCAACCTCTGTTACATTCTATGATGGTTCCACATGTTTCTCTCCTACCTGGAGTCAAATCCTGAACGCAAATGGGTTATTTGAAAATACCATGCCCTTAGGTACGGAGGGTAGGTGCTGTAATCTGTAATCCCTTGAGGATACTACCAAAGACAGGGCTCCAGATTGTGTGTGCATGTGTTTGTGTGTGTATGTGTGTGTGTGCATCAGTAGGAGCATTTCTGAATATGAGCCACGTACAGGTTGCAGGTGAATCTGGAGTCCTTCATCAGTTTAGCTTCTGGAGATCATTTAGCCCTTTGACTTAGCTTTCTATCTGCAAAATGGGGATGAACTTCAGTGTTCTGGTTCGCTGAAGAGTTCTAGTAATTACTATAACGGTAGGTATTTCCTTGAATGGAAAATGTCACTTAACTTCAGGGGATCCATTTTAGGAAACTAAAGATTGAAGGTTGATTAATATCCCAAGGTATCATTGCTAAAATGAAAAACTTTTTCATTAGAAATAAGCATACTCAATGTTTAATCAATATGTGAAATGCACACCCCTGTTTTGAAATGCAGTGTTCACCTTTTAAAACACTAGGGCACTTTTAAAAACATTTCTAACAAATGTTGAGTTTTCTTCATGAATGGTTCTTCTTTGTATGGGGATTCTTGACCCAGTGACCAAAGGTTTCTAGGGGAGATTACAGTTTCCTGTATTATGCTCTGTGATTTTCAATCACCAGGAAATTACCCCTGCTGCTTGGCAATGCCAAACACCTAGTCACCTGATATTCTGGCATGTTTTAATAGTCTTTCCCCTATGAGTCTTGAAGCTTGCTTCTATATGTGAAACTATCCAGTGCCACCAAGTTGTTCTTCAGACTAAGAATTGGATATGCCAATGGCATACCACCCTGTGCCTGTGCCATGATGCAGAGATATTCCTTTGGTTGAAGTCTCACAATTAGTTTTGGAATTATCTGCAGGATTCATGATTTTAAAGACTTTAAAGACAAAAAAAAAAAAAAAAAGACAAGGCAGAGGAACAGATGGGGCCTGAGCACCACAGTGAGCTTAGTGCCCTGGAGGAAGTTGGATCACCCTCCTACCCTCCTGGCAACAATGGCCTGGCCTGACCAACAGGAGCCGATCCTGCTGCTGCATGCAGGCAGTGAGCTCTAGGGACTGTGTGCAAGTTCACCAAGCGCTGGCCAGAAGAAAGTATTTAACCATAAAGTGACCACAAGCTGCATTATTCCGTTTTTTTGCTTTGGTTTCAGCAGTTTCTTTCCTATTGGAAAATGCTTCTTTGGGATAATAAGTCTGAAGCTGACTGCATCATGCCTGGGCCTATGAGTGCATTTTGGTCTGGCTCTCCCTCCCTAAACACACCCAGGCATGTGGGCTGTTTTGGAGGAGAGAATGGGTATGGGTTCTGCCCGGTATCTCACCCCGCCCGTGTCAAATACCTTGCGCTGCTGGAAGTATCTTGCTCATGAACTTTTTACCTGTTTGATTATACTGTTACCTATTAATGGGATAAAGCTGTGAATGGATGAGCAACTTTCAAACAGTAAAAAAACGATCTTTGGGCAAACAAACCAAAAGTTGAAAAGTCTTAAATTATTTTTTCTCAATTTTCACATAAAAACCATTGTTAGGAAAAAAAAAGAAGCAGCTTCCCAACTTCTAGCAGTAATGCAGACGTGACATTCCATGTTTACATCCATACGTATCAGCCAGTTTTCTCGAAGCGCTACCGATTGTCCAACTGAACATTGTATTTTCCGACTGTTGTCAATTTAATTCGGAAAAATTCTTTCCAAGTTCCCTGAAAGTTCAGCCTCTAAAATGGGGATGTTGGTGATAGCAGTGGAATTCTTATACAAAACAGCATACACATGCAAGCTACATATACTGGTGTTTTTAGTATTTTATTCTATTAAAATAGATTCAAGAGAAAATTTTTAAAATGTGTAAGCTAAGGAATTTCTTTTCCTTTCCTGGCCTTCTTTAGTTGTAGTGAATTTGGGGAGTGTCCCCCCAAGAGAGATTGTGGGTTCGTTGTGAGTTTGGTTCCGCATCATCATCACCTTTGACACACCTGGCACGCTGCCCACCTGCTTGTGGCGGGCAGCAGCAGGGACACCACATGGAGTTAGGAGCCACTGCTGGTGAAACACATGGCCAGGGACCAGATTCATCCCAACTCCTAGCTCCTTCTCTCTATGTTCTCCCAACTCCCTCTCTGTCTTACACACACACACACACACACACCACTCTTCGGCAGGGCCATGATGAGTCAGCTCTAAGAGACAGACAGGAGCCCTGCTCTCATTTCCAGCCATGGTGGCAGTGGCAGTGAGGGGCCTAGAGGGCAGATTAGGAAAACCTGTGTGGCTGGGGCTTCAGGTTGCCAAACCAGCCTGCCCCACTCCAGATTAACGGCACCCTCTCTCCACTCTCTTCCTAGGAGGACCCCTCTCCAGCCCTCCCCGAACACGCAGGGAAGATGGGTACGCCTCCACCAACATCTTCATCTCCAGAGAGTGCCAGATGCCACAAAGACACAGGGCATCTGACTGGGGCACTTAGGACTTCTGAGGAGTCCGGAGCCCAAAATTCCTCTTCCCAGTGATGGGGGCTCCTTGCATTTCACAAAGATACCATCTCTAAGAACAAACTGGGTGGGGTGGGTTCCGTCCACACAGGAGCCTGCTGCTCAGGGTCTCTGAACACAGGGCCAGCTTTGGCCCAAACTGTGGGCAGAGGGTTGGAGGGGAAAGAGACCAAAACAGGTGTGGCCTCCCATGAGCATGTGTGAGTGTGAGTGTGGGTGGAGTGGCAAAAACCCCGACCCTTGGGGGACTCCAGGGTGTTGGGCACTGCTCCTGAGGTCAGGGATGGCAGGGTCCTGGGGAGGTGCCTTGTCCTAGAGCAGGGCCATCAATGACCAGAGCTGAGTAACAGGGAAAGGAGCTGGCATCCCCAAGGGCACTCTCTGCCCACTCAGCGCTTCTCCCTCCAACCACCAGAGTTCCAACCATTAGCAAGTTCTTTTTTACAAGGGACCCAATAGTCTCAGACCCCCTCCCGGGAGGCTCCTGGCCCACCTGGCCCCACCCGCGGCTGCTCCTGAGCCCTGTCCCCCGCCCCTGCAGCAGCCTCCCTAAAGCAGGAGGGAAGGCCCTGAGCCAGATGGGCCAGGCTGGGCGGAGTTGGAAATCGCTCCCACAGCTCCTGCAGCCCACCTTCCTCCCACCTGCTCTAAGGCTTTTTGGGGTCAGCCAGCCTCTTTGGGAAACATTGGAGCTGAGCGCCAACTCATCGCCCCTTCAAGGCACATTCCTAGTGAGCACAGGCTCTAGAGACCCAGGAGGGCTGGGCTTAGAGGAAGAATAGAGAGGCTCTGGAGGTCGCCTGGGTGAGAGGTGTACAGCGGACGGGCCACCCACCCCGAGGCCCAGGCATTCTCAGCCCAGCTCCCTGCTGGCGGGGCCGCCCGTCTCTGTGCTTCCTCCCATGGCACTGAGGCCTTTGGCACCAACACGTGGGACTGTCACAAGGGAAACCGGAGGCCTGAGCTCAGCACCTCTGGACACGCACTGGGCTAGTTTCCAGCCTCCCTTCAAACTTCGGTCCCTTCCCGGCTGTAGAGGAGGTGACTGACGTGGAAGCCAGTGGCCGCTGTCTGGTGGCCAAGGGCGAAGCTAGGCGAGGGGCCAAGGGCCTGGGGATCGTGGGTGGCGACCGTTGTCTGCGGCCTCCCGAAAGAAAAGTCGCCTGCCAGGCTCCCGGGGAAGGTGCCAAGACCGCCAGCCAGAACGCTCATAGCGGAGGCGAAACCCGAGAAGCAGGTGGCGGCCTCGGGTGTGGACCGAGAGGGCGAGGCCTGCAGGTCCCAGCGAGCTGCGCCCTGGGGCTCCAGCGAGGGTGCCTCGGCCCCTCCCCGGCTCCTGGCTCCCAAGGGCGCGGCGGCGCTGGCTTCTGCTCTCCTCTTTCTCTTCCTTCGGAAGTTCCCGTTGTCAAACATCTTCTCACAGTTGGGGTCCAGGGTCCAGTAATTGCCTTTACCTGCAGAAGAAGAAAGAGCTCAGTTCAGAAAGTTACAGATTCGACGGACCGTGGTGTGAGCGAGGCGGTCAGCTTCAGAAGGATGCCCCACCAGCCCTTGCAGAGGGTCTGAGCCTCGCCCCCATCCCAACCCTTGCTGAGCACTCTGCACCTGACGGGCCTCCACAGCCGGACTGGAAGAAGGTGGCAACCCAGAAAGCAGGAGGAGGGGCGCCCTAGGCAAGGCGGAGCCCGCGAATGTGAAGGACGGCCTGCGGATGCCAACAGTGGGACTCCACCAGTCGCTCTGCCAAGAGCAGCGCAGACCACGCCGCGCCCCCAAGTAGGCACGAACGCTTTCCATACAGGCACCCCATTTGTGTTGCCCGTCCTTAGGGTAGAGGCTGTCTTCCCTGTTTTACCGGGTAGGCACTGAGGCCCCGGGAAGTTGAGTAACTCCCAAGGTCACCTAGCGTGCTGGCTCTCCCGCTTCTTCCTCCCAAGGAGCGCACAGACTTACAGCTCCGGGACCTCTGCACTGGAAACGCGGGCTTGTGAGCTCTGCTGCTGTCTCAGAACCTGTCCATGGCCAAGCACTACTCCCACTTCTTCCCCCTTACCCCCTGCCCACAGTATCCCACACCATGCAGGGAGGAATTAGGTTGTCCAAGGTCGCTCTCACCCCCGGAATGCCTACGACCCGGCGGGAAGACGGGGAATCCCCGACGGGGCGAGCGGCGCACAGTTACCTGGGTCGTCGTCGTCGCGGGGCACCTTCTTGAAGCAGTCGTTGAGCGACAGGTTGTGGCGGATGGAGTTCTGCCAGCCCGCCTTGCTGCGCTTGTAGAAGGGGAAGTTGCCGGCCACGTACTGGTAGATCTGGCTGAGCGTCAGCTTCCGCAGCGGCGCGCTCTGGATGGCCATGGCGATGAGCGCCGAGTAGGAGTAGGGCGGCCGCACCAGCCTCAGCAGCTCCTGCTGGCCGGAGAGGCTCAGCCAGGCGAGGTCGGCTCCTGCCAGACCGCCCGGGGCGTCGAGGAACGGGCCGGGAGCCCCGTAGCCGGGGGCGGCGTAGGGCAGCGCGGGCCCGGGGTCAGAAGCACAGGATTTGGGGCTGAGCGCGGGTGCGTTCACCCACAGGCGCGGGCCCCCTCCCGGGATGCCCAGATCACCAGGCGCATAGCCCGGGGGGTGTGCGGGAACCCGGGCCTGGCTGGGCGGGGTTGAAGAGGGGCCCGGGTAGTCGCAGTAAGTGGCCATGTCCAGCCGCGCCCGGGTCTGGGCGGGCAGCACCGCACCGAAGCTCAAGGGCGACCCATCCAGCGTGGCCACCAGCCTCGCCGGCAGGGTGCGACCAGCCCTCCGCCCTTTAAATGCCATCGAGGCCAGAGCCGGAGGAGAGTGATGGGGCGAGCCCCTCCCCCGGCAGCCCAGGAGGAGCGAAATCCCGGTCCTCGCCCGGGTGTCAGTTTTCCGCACCGCCCAGATCTTGACACATCCCGGACCGGACGCCCCTCTGATTTCCCCTTCCTCCGTGTGCTCTGCTTCCCGAGTCCACAGTCGCTTGTGCTATCGGCTGCAGGGACCCTAAGTCTACCGCCTCTTCTGGCTTCATAGGCCCCGCAGTCCCGACTGCCCTGGACTGCACTCCGACTCCCCAGGGACCCCAGGGCTGTGGCTTGGGGGTACAACGTGCGGCCCCCTTGCTCGCCTGGGAACATCTCGCCCCAAGGAAACCCGCCTCGCCGGGGCCCTTTGTTACTCGGGACTCGGGGCTAGTAGCAGAGGGTGACTGCACAGCGCAAGAGATCGCAATGAAGCCCGTAGGCCTCCAGGCCAGAGCCACAGAGGGAAGTGGCGCGGCGAACGCGGGGCTGGGCGTGGACAGTTGCTTTGGGGTCGTCCGGGGTCCTCCGGACTATGACCGCGCGAAGGCAGCGGACTGACCTCTGTGCCGAAGTCTCGCTACCCCGCGGAGGGTCTCGACCCTGGAAGTCTCCGACCCCCAACTGTCCAGGGCAGTCTTCGATTTTCCCAAGCCGGGGAGTCCGAGGCCCCGCCAGATTTCTCCGCGCAGTGGCCTGGGGCGCTTAGTGCCAAGGGCGGCAAAGCTCTCTGCTGGGCGTCGGAGGGCGCTCAGAAAACAGGGATGTCTCTGCATTGCGTCAAGAAAAACCAGCCCTCCTGTCCTTCGGCCTCCCGGGGTTGCTGCAGCCCGGGTTCTCCACCCCCCGCCCTCCACTACACGCTGCCCGGCCCTCGGCCTCCGGCGCTGTGGGGTGGCGAAGGAAGGATCCAGGCAGACGCGCCGCGCTGGGCAGGGTACCTGGGAAGAGCGTCCGTCTCCCGGACTCCGAGTCGGGCACCAGTGCCAACGAGGTGGAAATGCAGGCCTGGCGCTCAAGGCTCAGAGTTGAGGAGACGTCCCCATTTCCCCCGAAATTCCTGCCCCCGGGATTGGAGCTGACCTCCTGGAAACCGGCCTCGCCCTGGGCATTCCCCAGCATTACGCGGGGCTGTGGATTTCATTTCAATTCATTTGAAAAACAAAAGGACCAGCCCTTACTGACTTTTGGCAGTGGAGGAGGCTTGTTGGTTGCGGCCCCCTGGTCGATTGAGGAGAGAGTTTGTTTTGGGGGATAAAGGGCCGGGTTTGAGTCAGCGACTTACTGGTGGTGCAGCCCCTAGGCCGCCCAGATTGTAGTCCCAAATTTTATGTAAAGCAACTAATTTGTGGAACAATTTAGCAAATGACAGAAAGAAGTGAGAGACCTTCTGTTGGGACGTTGGCCTCTCCCGTTAGAGGTGAAGCCCCTTCGGAAGTGGTGGGTGAACCGAAGGCAGTTCCCGAGGAGTGAAGAGAAAAGAACGGCCCCGAAATTGTTTTTTGAGGTCGGCTCTTCGGTTAGACTCTGCCCCGTTTCCTTCCCCTTTTCCCAAAGATTTCTAGTTTTTGTCAAAGGAATGCTAGTTGTGGGGGTCCCAGGTACCCTTTAGGAAGCGGCCCTCGCCTCCTATCCCCATTATTTCAGGGGTGGTTGCCGGGACACCGGGAAGTACCGGGGTGGGACACACCTCTTCTTGCTTCTCAGGTGGGCACAGTCTATTGCTTCCACCCAAAACAGCAGCCAATGCCACCTGCCACTCGGCTTAGCGATTTCCAGTGCCCCCTCCGTGGAAACCGTGCTGTTCTCTGCAGCTGTGACAAGCTTTTTGGTAACTACCTCTTGAAGAAAGTGTCTTTCCCCCAGCACATGCGTTGCAAGCATGACTTGGATCCTTTCCTTATGGTGCAAACCCACCTCTGCACCTACAGACACCCACTTTCCTCCCATAACACCCTTCCAGAGCTTGCCAGAGGGTCTGGGATGGCTCCACATCTTCTGGAATTTTGAAATGGCTGCTGATTAGGACGCAGTTTTTGAGTCCGTGCTTGATGAGGATGGAACATTACAGAGGCTGCACTGCTCTGCCTTGACACACATAATCCCGGAGAGAGTCAGAAGGTGGGAGCTGCAGCCAGACCCGCAGGGTCACCCTCAGGGCAGGATTCTACCCTGCCCTGCCGTCCAGGTTTTCTAGTGGCTGTACTGGACAAAGACAGCGCTCCTTGTTAGGGATTTCCATTGTCCAAGACTTCGAATGTAGAAGACAACTGTTTTGGTGGAATAACAATGATTTGACAGGAAGAACTAATTTTATCTGTAGTTTTTTTTTTTTTTTTTTTTTTTTTTTTTTGAGACGGAATTTCGCTGGAGTGCAATGGCGCAATCTCGGCTCACCGCAGCCTGCGCCTCCTGGGTTCAGGCAATTCTCCTGCCTCAGCCTCCTGAGTAGCTGGGATTACAGGCACGCGCCACCATGCCCAGCTAATTTTTGTGTTTTTAGTAGAGACGGGATTTCACCATGTTGACCAGGATGGTCTCGATCTCTTGACCTCGTGATCCACCCACCTTGGCCTCCCAAAGTGCTGAGATTACAGGAGGGAGCCACCACGCCGCCCGGCTTATCTGTAGTTAACTGCACTACTGTGAGAATAAAATCAGAGATGTTGAATTTTAAAGAATAGCTTGGGTCATCTTTTGCAATGTAAAGGAATTTTTTTTTTTCAAAGATGACAGTTCTTTCCAAAGTCTCTTTAATTGAAATAGCCTTTCTTTCTGTTAATACTATAACTCTGTAACACTTGTGAGCTTCGGGACCTCTAAGAAAATCAAATAAACCTTTCTGTAATTTCCCTCAACTATACTTTACAGACATTATTAAAATTTGTGCCATATATATATATATATATATGTCTATATCTTTTTTACCCTTCTTTGCTCTCCGAGCCCAATTTCCATCTTCCACCTCCACTGTGGTAGTTGACTTTTCTTTCAACAGACTCTACTCCAAAAAGAATTTCAGTAGAGGGAGGGCAATCGTTTTTGGGGAAAATGTATTGACCCTTAAATGGTCTTGCATGGAACTTTAATGAGATTTTTTCCAAGACACATACAAAAAATCTTGGGAGAGAAATAACAAGGAAAAAGACTGCCCTGCCTGAGAGTCCTGCTGGGGTTGTCTAAACAGAACAGCCCCCACACCCACTTTAAGCCTCTGATCCATTTCCTTCTCCTTTATTCTCTAAAGTGACCCCTGCTGCCTACATGGAGGATAAGTGTCCCCAGCCTTTGACCTTTCAAACTGTCAAGCCCACGGGCAGCTGCATCTACACCTATTGCTGGGGTCACCTATTCTCCATCATCATCAGGCCAGTCTCTCCCGGGCAGGACTGGGACTCAAGTGCACAGCTACGATGCAGCCATTAGGGGGCGCTCACTGGTAGGGCCCTTGAAAGACGATGTGCCCTTGAAAGACGATGTGCCCTTAGTTCTGTTCTCAGGCTGCTCTCAGGGGCCTCACTCAGTGATCTCCTCTTCCCTCTTCTCTTCCCCCTCAGCATTTGACAATCTCAGTTCTCTCTGTGGTAGCAAATCTTTTCAGCCCACATCCCTTTTGAGGTGTCTCCAGGTCTTCAGAAGCCTGGTCTGTGGTGGCTGCCGCCCCATCCTCCTCTCTCAAGAGCATGCTCTTCACTCAGCTCAGACGTGAGTGAGATGAGATCGTCAGAGTGAGATGCTCTTCACTGACCCCCACGACTCAACTGAAACTGCTCAGGCACAGCCTCTGGTGGCCCTGGTCGTCGTAAATCCAGGGATCACTTTTACTCCTCATTTTGCTGGACTCGCAGCAGCCCTTGACACCTTTTAGAATCAGTATTTCTTTCTCTGCCTGCTTTTCAGCACTGTCCCTCTGGTTGACCTCCCCTTCTCTGGCTTCTTCTCGGGCTCTCGGGCTTTGCCTTGTTCTGAGGCTGGGGTTCTGCAGGGCTGTACTCTGGGCCCTCTTGTTCACTCCTGTGGCTTTGAGTTCTGGCCTCTGGTTCAGGGTTTGTTTGTCAACCTCAGCACAGTTGACATTTGGGGCTGCGCAAACCTTTGCTGTCCTGTGTGCTGTGGGATTTTTAGCAGTACTCCTGCTTTCTGCCTGCCCAATGTGGATAAGGCCTCCACTATTACGGCGACCAAAAATGTCTTCAGACATGGCCAGCTGTCCCCTGTGGGGCCAAATCACTCCCATGGAGAACCCCTGCATTAACCAATGATTCCTCCATTTTTGTCATCCATTTGTATGTCTTCCTTTCACACTCAACATGCAGAGTAAGAATTCATTATCTTCTGCTACAAAACCTGTTTGTCTGTGCATGGCAACATCACTTACTCAGTTGTTCAAGGCAAAACCTGGGAGTCCTCCTTGATTCTCCCCCCTCTCCCTCCCACAACTAATCAGTCAGCAAGAATTCTTTATGCTGTGTCTCAATCATTCCTTGGTAATCTGAACCCCATTCCTGTGTCTTTCAGGATGATGGCAACAGCTTCTAATAGATGCCCCTTGCTGTCAGTCTTGTCCCTCCCAATGTTATCCGCACTATAGCCAGACTGACCTTTCTAAAACCATGGTGGGCAGGATTCTAAAGACGATTCCCAAGATTCCCAGATTACTCCACCAAACACTAACCTGGGTTCTGCTGTGAGGGGGTTTTGCAGATGTAAAGTCCCAAGTCAGTTGACCTTAAGATACAGAAGTTATTCCAGTGGGCCTGACCCAATCAGGTGAACCCTTTAAAAGCAGAGTTTACTTTGGCTGCCAGTAGCAGCAGAAGTCAAAAAAGAATTTTTTTTTTTTTTTGAGACAGTGTCTTGCTCTGTTGCTCAGGCTGGAGTGCAGTGATGCAGTCTTGGCTCACTGCAACCTCTGCCTCCCAGGTTCATGCGATTCTCCTGCCTCAGCCTCCCAAAGAGCTGGGATTACAGGTGCATGCCACCACACCAGGCTAATTTTTGTATTTTTTAGTAGAAACGGGGTTTCACCATGTTGGCCAGCCTGGGCTTGAACTCCTGACCACAGGTAATCAGCCCAACTCAGCCTTCCAGAGCGCTGGGATT